ACGAATTGAAATTTTAAGGTCACAATGCGGCGAGTGGCCCTGACTCTGATCTTCTGTATTTCTATACACACAAATTGTACGTACTGTGTGTGTGATGTGATGTGATGTGCTCGCACGAAGACGCAGTTGTTATTATTTTACTCGGTATGCAGAAAACATATCCAAACATGCTTTTACATCAATACATACATACATACATATATTTATGTATTCTTTTAGATGGCAACATACAAGTACTTTTGTAAATATATATATGTATGTATATATGAGCACCTTGAAAGATATATACCCACATGTGTGGGTATTTTTCAAGGTGTTTCAATAATTATCTGTCGCCCGTTTTCCGTATTTTCGTTTCGTTTATTCACTTCGAAACGAGAGAGAAGAGAGAGAGAGAGGCAATAACACTCGCTCATCGCTCGCTTCCCTCCCTCTCTCTCTCTTCTTCCCTCTCTGTTTGTCTTTGACTCTCTTCTCGAAGACGCTCTCTGGCCGCTCACGGCACAAACCTTTTCCAGGCGGACGAGGTCAATTTGTTGTAACTTCAAGCACTGCAAGTGGGGGGTGAGAAGCTAGTTTTTGCTCAGGGTCAGCCTCGAGGTTTTAAAATGTGCTCTTTCCACGCTCTATACTGAATACACACCGATGCACACGTGCAGACACAGATGTTCACGTATTCGGCTTTGCTAGCTCAATAGAGGCCATCGTCTGTTACTTTTTGGACAATGTTTCTCCCAGCATCCCTCGCTTGTAGTAAAATTCAAATGTTTACGATGTTTGCCAGGAAGTTGCAACGCAGAAAACATTTTCCAATCTGTTCAAGGATCAGCAGAGATTCCCTATGAATAAAACACATATTCTTAAATTTTGCTGCACGCATTGTATGACATGAGACCGACCCGTCCGTGTTTTGGGGAGATAGCAGTCATAAAATATGTTGGAACAATCGATCTGCAAGGGTATCAAGAGCTATACGGCCCTCAATCTTGTCTTTCCTCTTTGTATTTTTTTTTTTTTTTGCATTCAAATGTGGGCCAATGTCAATGATGACCGAGCCGAGCCGAACAGCCGAGGCATTCGTTCATGGGTGTCTGGGGTCGCGAGCTTCGCTTTCGTCATCGACTGCGCTCTTGGCCAAATTCGACTCGACTTGACTTGACTCGGGGGCTGGCAGCTGCCTTTCGACTTGTCAACGGCGTCGGCGTCGGCGTCGCCGATCGATTTGAGTCTTTTGCGGCATTGCGCGGGCCCCACAAAACCCAAAATCAAATCGAAGTTGTGCAACGTAATGAGATTGCACATACGTTACGGAAGAATGTATAGCTAGTGGGTTTTAGTTTCGTTTAGTAAATGTTTGTAAAGAATTCGTTACTTTGCTTATGGATATATTTAACAATTAAGTAAAACGTATATTTTCCTTCCTTGCAGAACTAAGCTGCAGTACGAATCGTTGGAGGGCTCAATGATAGTCGATGGCGAAGACGACACACTGAGTGATAAGATCGGCTGCCCATTATATACAGCACCGGAGCTACTGTGCCCCCAGCCGACGTATAAGGGAAAGCCAGCGGACATGTGGTCCCTTGGCGTGATTCTCTACACGATGCTCGTCGGGCAGTATCCATTCTACGAGAAGGCCAACTGCAACCTCATCACTGTGATCCGTCACGGCAACGTGCAGATACCCACCACGCTCTCAAAGTCGGTGCGGTGGCTCCTGCTGTCGCTCTTACGCAAGGACTACATGGAACGCATGACCGCCACCCACATCTTCCTGACTCCGTGGCTGCGGGAGCAGCGTCCGTTTCATCTCTACCTGCCCGTCAATGTGGAAGTGGCCGAGGACTGGGACGAAACGGAGAGCAGCGACGATGGAGCAGCAGTCATGGATGAGGATGAAGGCGGGCTCTGTTCCCTGGGGGATAAGCACGAGTATGAGGATATCGGCGTAGAGCCACTCGACTATACGCGCAGCACACTGCAAATGGCCCAAGCCACTGCATTGAGTGCGGACGTGGAAATGGGCTGATCAACGCACCGGAAGTCCCCCCACGGGTTGCTTTCATGGTAACGCTGGGAAGCAGCATTAGCTGCTTCTCCATTCAGTTAGAGCTGCGGAAACAGAATCCTACTGGACCTCGCCGGATGGTGGCAGGGCTATGAATTGTGGGTATGGGTTGTTCCCACACTATTCCGGTACGGCTCGGGGAGCGCTGAAACTGAACGCGTTCCACATCTTCCTGCAGGTGGTACTGCCAACAAAGACTTAAAGCCTCGCTTAAACTCTCTCAGACACAAGAACTCACTGCCTTCCAATAATTACGAGGACGCACTTTCGTTTATGAATACGTTCTTCGTGCTCTCACCTTTGCAACCGATTCTTCCTAAAAAAACAAACACAAACTTATGTACAATATAAACATTATAATTTTTTGTAAACTGTTGATCTTATCAAAAGACAGTCGCCCTGATTTATTTTTTGGGCTCTAAAACCATTAGTTTTCATGTTAAAAGTGCAACGAATGCAAATTGTTATTTATTTATAATTATATAATTTTTTCCTGTATTTCGCTTGGTCTACTACCTACTTTTAGAAATCTTGTAAGAGAAAATCGTGAAACCTAATACATTAAAATTTGATCTCACCAAGAACCGAACTGACTTCGAATCCATTTATCAATTTATATTTGCCTTGGAGGCTCCAGCTTATGAGCCTTGAACGTTATATATGAGCGTTATATAGCAACAAAAGTATATTTCGATTGGAACTTATCTTTCATTTGGTATGAACACGTGGCACCTCGAGGCTAACTACAGTTAGCTAATAACTATGAGAGGTACATATATACCATGATTCCAGATATTCAGCTGGAAATGAATTTGTTAACATTTCGACTTGCCAAAACTCGAGCTATAAAAGTTAATTGTACGAGTGATTCTTGAACCCCCCAAATTGATAATGCATTGGGAAGGTGTTTTGCAAGTTGAAGGGGAAAGAATAACTAGTATATGTCATGATGGCGAACGTGACTTTCTGAGCGCTCTGCTTTGCTTACTTTTTGCCATGCAATATCAAATAAACTAACGCCACTCGTTCTAACTGATATTGTGAACGGTGGGGTATTTTCCTATCAACAAGATTCCCCACCACAACTGTCTTCCGACATGCCGACGTGACGGAGGGGCTTCGCATGTATGTATGTATGCATTGTATAGGTACAGCGTGTGTGTGTATGTGTGAGCCAACCTACCTGTGATCGAGCACAGCACAGCACTTCCATTCGTCGTCAGATTATGAAATTGCCTACCGAATGAGAATTGCGAGCGAGCTTACTGCGCAAAACACAAAAACTGCTGACAGCGACGTCACCTTCGCACATTATGACTCTCGAACTTCGTAGCTCAATGCCTATTCTAAGATATCAGTTATAGGTTCCAGAATGTTCAGATGATTTTAACAGTTTTTTGCTAAAAACATAAACAGGCAACGCGAATGCAGCATACAAATGTATTGATATTTTACTTGTTTATTATGGCTTGTACCATTCTGGCCACTGAGACCATTTTTTGTAGAATGATTTTTATTGATATTATACTAACAAATGTTAGTTGATATAAGTCGATATCTCAGCAGCTGCAGCTCAAAACTATAGCCACCAAATTAGCTGCAGTAGATCCTTATTTTGTATACCCTATCAATGAAGGAGTATAATAGAATTAGCAGAAACAAAGTACAATGCACCATCACTTCCCGCCTGATAAGACAATCTGGTTGAAATACCAGTGGATCGTAGTTTCTGTCAGTGAAATTAAAACCAGTTTAACAAAAGAGCCAAATTCACTTTTAAAGCTCTAACATTTAACAATGTTACAACTATGAAATTAGACTAGAACCATGTCAACTACTTTCCCTGACCCCAACCTTTAATTTCAAAGCCGTTCCACTTTGTAGTTTCTTTCGTTACCGTTCTGTAGCTTTCCAATTTCTACACCATTCCAATTCGGTTTGTCGATCGTAATTACTTCCACCTTTCATAAATGCATGTACATACATATGTACATATGTATGCGCGTATGCAGTTCATACACACATGCATATCTACATCCAGTACTATTGCACTCAAAGTGGGTTGAATACCCAATCAGTTACGTTAAATCGATTCATCGGAAATAGGAATTTAAGTTTCTCGAACGAGATGCGATATACTTTCTAGACAGATCAAACATTTTCCACGACATTTTCAGTCAATCAAACGTTCTCTTTAGGTATTTAGCACAAGTATTTTGGCGAAGACTCGTGACTAATTGCGGAAACTGTGTACCAAATAACTGAAACATTTTATTTTCTATGTGCACTGTACGCACTGTATAAATATATGTACATATGTATATACAATATGCATCTGTGTAGGCGACCGCTGTCCCCAAAATTTTTAGTTCCTCATTATTTATTTTTACAGCCGGCTTGCATCAGCAAATGCACGCAAGATGCCTGACGTTCTGACGTAAATATATTTATTTTTTATTATAAAGGCTTTTGATTGGCCATGATTTAACCGTTTGATTGAACATGAATGATCCAATATTTATCGCGATCGAAAAGAGCAAATTGTTGGACATAAGTTTTTCAATAATTTACAATAATGTGCAATAATGTAAATCAAGTTATTTTAGTTGTTTAGCCCAGGTCGATCAAGTTGTTTTAGTTGATCAATCAAATTCTATCATACTCAATAATGTTCAATAAAGTTGTTTGAGTTGTTCAATCAAGCTGATCTTATTGTTCGTTCTCTAGCACTCTCTCTACGTCACACACCTTGCAACGTAATCAGCTAAGTTATAGTTCGGTATATTTTTGAGGGTGGTGCGGTATATTTTGTATATATAAATCGGCAGTCACACTGCTTCAATTGTTTTTTTATAAATAAATAAAATATTTAATTAATTGGTGAACGAGAGCTAGCCGGCTGTCTCAATTAAATTTTGATGAATAGTTGTAGTTTAACGATATCACAATGAAGATTACAGATCTGAACATAGACTGTCTTCTGGTGATTTTCAAGTACTGCTCCGAGAGCGAGTTGATGTGCCTGGCCAAGGCTAACCAGCACCTGGGCAGGATTATAGATGCTCACATATTTTACCCACTCACGAGGGACTTACTGCTGTGCGGCCATAGAAACGAACCTTGTGTTGAGAAAAGGTCTGAATGGTTGATTATGGACGTGAAGGCGAAGGCAGTGGTGGGTGTTAACAGCATATTTTATCATCGTTCAGAAACAAAACGCATCTTACTCATCAAGAGAGACTTCAAGTATCGAGAAATTGGCTGAGCGGTACCTACAGAGAACGTCCCTACTACCACCACGCGCACCTCTTCCCCACGAAGTTGTTCCTCGAAAGGGACGCTCTGTACGTCACGCATGACAGTTATTTACGCAAATACCTGCGACCGGCTAAGGAGGCTCTGCCGCGTTGGTTTGACGAAGAAATTACCACTGCCACAAGGAGCGACATATCGGATTTTCTAAAGAAACAAGATACGCTCTTTGCGGGTCGCATCTGTGGCGCGTGCTTTCTGTGCGATGAGAATGGAATCACAGAACAACAAATGCATCAGCCCAACGAGTACCTATACAGCGTCGACTTCATCAACGATGTGTTTGTCACCAGCACGGATGCCTGCTGCAAGGTGTGGCAGCGCTCCCAAGAGTTTGGACTCACGCACTTTGATCTGGCCATAAAACTGGAGCATTCATTCAAGTCTCTAAAGTTGAGTGCCGACGGGGAATGGCTCTACGGGGGTCTCTACACAGACAAGGGTCGACGGGCATTGCGAGCCATCCACGTGGAGAGGTAGCTATACATTTATACCATTATAATTGAGCTATAATGCTAACCAGATTTATTTCCACAGTGGCGAGGAGGTGGTTTACAATTCAAACACCATTTCCATATATGATCTGAAGATAAAGGATGAGCATGTTCTCTTTACGGCTAATTTCGATACGACATTCAGAATGTTTGATCGCCGCATTGATCGAGATGTCGCCATTTGGGAGGATCCGTTCGACTCTTCATTTTACTGCCTCGAGTACGATGGCCTTTACGCCGTGCTCTGCGGCACCAACCGACACGCCCGCGTCAATCTCTACGACATTCGAATGCCCAAATACGTGCAGTTGTTCTTTCCCGGGCGAACGCGTCAACAGAACTGCCAGTCGCCCGTCTACAGTCTAGCCTGTGATAGCCAATATTTGTTTGTGGCCACGGACCACAATCTGCGTGTGTTCGACTTCAAAGCCAACTGCGGTGTACGCAGGGACTATAGTCGCATCTATGATTTCAATCGCTAACAAAAATTTGATTTTCAATTAGTTGAATTGTAGAGCAGAATCGAAAGAGTGACATCAGAAAGGTATAAATTATTATTAAACGGACCTGATGCACTTTGACCATTTATATATATATTAATTGCTTTACAAAGTAAAAACAAAGCAGTGTTGGGTAATGGTGGAAACGCTGCCCACCCAAGGGGCTGCTCAGATCAGCTAGAAGCAAGTGGCAAAACAATAATTTATAAAACCAATGCCAAAATCGTATTTGAAGTATTAGATATTTTTTGAAAACAAATTTTATTGACCTGCCGACAAATTGGAACCACAAAACTTAATTAGCTAAATTAGAAACTTTAAAACATCCACTTAAAAATCATGTACACAAAAGTTATGATAGAAACTTATAAGTATGCACGAATATCGTATCGTAAAGGCTACATGTATGTACCTTGATGCATGTATGTATGTATGTAATACGTGATGTACATGGGAGTGTACGTTGTGCGCGCTAGACTTTGACATTCAAATTGCAAATTTCCTGGTCAAGTTGTGTATTTGTAATACGTTTCCGTGAGGTGAGCCATAATCCTATCACTGTAGAAAATTAAACTAAAAACTACCAGAAATCGTTGTAACCGTACACAATTACTACTTTTCGTATCTTACAATGTTATGCTAGTAAAAACACATACACACATATGTCGGAAACCGGAAAGGAAAGTGGAACAGTTCGGCCAAAATTCGTCGTGGTTGGTTTGGTTTAGTTTTTTTAGCAGGCACTTTATCTATTCTGTAATTTGATGCATTTACAACAACTGGCAGCAGCAGCGGCAACCTCTCTCGATGTATAAACTTAAGCCGAAAAAAGAAATTATTTTGAATACCGAGATAATAATCTGATCTGCAAGGGATCTATCCATTTGCAATATATATTTCCATTGCCCAAGTAATCTTAGGTCTACTGTACACGGAGGAACATGGTGCTACAGCGACTACCTAGTAGAGTGCTTTGTTGCTGTCGAAAGCGGCGATGAATTATCCGACGGCTTATCCGCCGTGGAAGGAATCGAAGGCGACTCTGCTGCACTCGCACTCGCACTCGCACTGTCATCTGGGACTGTGTGCTCTGTGCTTTGCGGATGATCCAGGCCTTCATTCAGAGCAGCTGCTAGCTCACCATTGAACTGCAGCAGACAACCCAAGGCACCAAAGTAGCCCTCATGCTCCAGGAAGAGTCCCTTCATTGTGCCATTCGACCAGAATTCCATGGCGTACGCCAGCAGCTTCATGGATATGGGATTCACACGCAGAAAGTTGCCCACAAACACCACCTATACAGAGATATCACGTTAGTCTGTGATTTTAAACGATTTTGTGTTTATATCTCACTCACCCTGTCTATCTTCTCATTCAGGGCACACATGCGCGCTATGGAACCAATATTGTTAGTTATTGTGACTAGTGTGGCATTGGCCAGATCCTCGCGGGACACTGAAACCCGCTTGTCGTCAATGTGCATTTGGCCAAAGCTGAAAGTAAACGAAACAAATTGAGTACAGCAAAGGAAAGCTTGGATTTGTAGCGTGTGTTACCTGGATGCCACCAAATCCCCGGGCAGACCAAAGCGATTGTAATCGCCGCCATAAATATCCTTTACCAACTTGTCCACCTTTCTGTTGTCGCCCTTGGTGGCCAGCTGTATGGCTTCCTCGAAGGTTGTACAGCCGGTAAGCAAACAGCATAGACCTAGGAATGTGCCGCCGCCCAAGCTGCAAGAGAAGCCAGAGAATAAGAGAAATAGACTCTTCAATTTGTTAGAACTTTTACCAACCTTGTGCCTGAGATGCGTTTGTAGTTGTCGGGTCCGTAGACAGCCAGAATGGAGACGCCGGAGCCAACATTCACCAATATGAATGGAAATGGTTGTGAAAAATTGAATGCACGCTTCTCGCTTTTGCTGCATGAGAGAGTTTCATCGAAACTGCATAAGTACATAAGTAAAACATATACTCTGATGTATCATTTACTCACATTATGTCCCGTGCATGCTCGTAGTAGTAGCATTCGGTGCGATTGTGCAGATCGGCAAAGAGTATGCCTTTGATGAGCGTATCCAGTTCGTCGAATTTGGCCAGCTTCATGTTCACTTGATCACGGAAATCCTTCTCGAATTTGAAGGCTCCACCGCCAGTGGCACAGACAGTGGTCACCAGTTCGGCCATGCCCTTTTGCTTGGCCAGGGACAGAAAGTTGCCCATGTCTGTGGTCTGAAACCGAATGAAATGCAGGGAGCCACGTCGCTTACGTATCTCCACATTGTCCATCTGCAAAGAGGGAGGATTAGAGTTAGAGTTGATCCAATGCCAGGCTTTTGTTCTTTATGCAAGCATCATTTATCCAAGTACTATTACGTATGAGCTGCCAGTTTTTTTGGGCAGTAACACGAGCGCGTACTTAGCTTCATAAATATGCCAATAGACTGACGACTCGTCGGGGCCCCATTAAAAAAACAACAGCCACAAGTGCAAAAGTCAATGATCGCGCCATGTAAGCGTTCGTCGTCAAAGCCCTTCTCTTCCTACAGTGCGCTGCTCATTTATATATATATATATATGTATCCGTAGTTTTGCTGTTTATTCAATGTGATTTTTGCTTTCCCACTAACAGTGCCCCTGTCCGCCCTATTGGGTAATACTTAGCTTATATTTTCAGACCAAAAACCGTGCGCATCTGCGAACTGACATACAGTAGAAGGTTTACTCTCTTGAGTCTAAAATCTCTCTCATTAGCTGTAGGGATCTCTACTACGACGCTGTGCAAACGGAAAGCTAAGACACACAAACAGAGAGCAAGAGTGAGAGAGAAACGTACTACAGATGAAATCATCATCAGACGACGACCCATTCCGACCTGCACAAGATGACTTTGTTGACACTAGACGCGCAAATATCGCCGCTCGATCATATTTTAGATGATAATGATGTTGATAATGGCCTGCACACGCGCTTCTTTCACATTACGTTACAAAAGGCACACACCCATTAGCCATCCATCCAGTTTGAATGATGAAATGCAACGAATGTCATCATCATGCCCTTGAATCATTGACGACCAAATTCCGGCTCTGTCTGCGTGATCATCTTACCTGCAAGTGCGTGTCGCGGTGTCCGGTTTTGCCATATGCAGAGTTTTTTGTTAAATAACGGCGTATATTCCGTAAAATGCCCGCCTCGCGATCCTGTTCGTCGGGCGTGATATCCTTCGGCTCAAAGTAAACCAATTTTGTGAGGGTGCCGCCAATGTCCATGCCAAACCATGGCATTGCTGTAAAGATTGAGAAGAAATAAGTAAATATTTAAAGCAATTATTGGGTAACAACTAAACCACAGTTTGACGTTCAGCTACGTTTACTATATATATTTCTGAGAAATCTGTACAGCAGGGTTGAGGGTTTATGTGTACCTAAGAGAAACTTTTGTCGCCCATTTGCCCCTCTATGAACTTGAAAGAGGGTACCGCGGCGTTTTACCAAGTTCATATGTCTTAGTAGTAGATAACATGCCAGAAAGTACCCCAGAAGTGGTACCCTAACACTTTACACAATTTTTAGAGCAACTGTCAAATTTTGATATATATTTTAACTAACAACGGAGATTTTCAACACTAAAAAAATGTAAACTACAGCCTAAACTTGTTCTTAACTCTGCCCACATTGATGACAAGTATTCAAACGCAAATTGCATGCCTTGTGTATGACTAGAGAAAACTTAACTAGAGTGAAGTGCAGCACCTTTGAAACACCTTCAAGTGCCAACGGCAACTAGTTTTCCAAAACATTACAAGAGCAAAAAAAAAAAGAAAAGAAATCGAACTTCAAACTGCTGACTCGCTGGCTCGCTGGCTGACTGACTGAATGTTTGAAAGCGGTTGTTTGGTTCATGTTCATTGTGTCAAGATCGAAGTTGCCGCAAAACTATGTCACACACACAGTATATGCATGCACATATACTTATATCTATTTATCTAGCTGTATGGGTATGGGTGTATCTTTGTGTTGCACGCACCGCTTTGGATGATTAGATCAAAGATCGATGTAAAATGTAGCGCCTCCGGCATGATGTAAGCCCGTATTTATTATTTATTTTGGACGGAGTGCGGAGTGTATGCAAATAGCGCGCGACTTTATTCCGCAGTTGAGTCGAGTGGAGTGGCCAGGCCGTAGAACGGCGCTGCACATAACACGGAACTTGTAATCACAGCCTAACACGTTTCGTTTACGTTCATTTGGTTGGTTCCACCCAATACCCTATACATATGTACAGGCACAGGCAAGTGCGTATTTGAGTGTTCAAGTGATTATAACTTTTTTGTGCACTTTATGTACAGATATAGTGTGTAATCGTATAGGTAGAGCGATTAGGGAGCGCGGCCAATAACCGGAAACATTTTTACTCTCGCAGGCAAGGCGAGGCAAGGCACGACGCGTCGATGGCTTCCAACTGACGACTGAGACTGACGGATTATATATTAGCCGTCAAAAGCTATTGAATATTGCCAACAATTGGGTGGGTAAATCGAGTCGAATCGAATCGAATCGAATCGAACCGAAACATTTACCGCCCCCCCTCCAAACGGGCGTGTCAGCGAGTAAATACACCACTTCTTATCTGCACTTTGCTCGCGTCGGTTATCGGGCAGGTTGAATAAATGTCTAAAATGACCAAGTATACGAGAGCATTTGACCACTCAATGAGACAGTGATATTATGTACGCGCCGCGAGTGCGGTTTAAATTACTTTACAACTCTCGCTCATAGTTCAAAGGATTGCATATAATAAAAGAACGAATAAAGTTACTTAACTTTCGTTCATTCATTCATTCTAAATTTGTATTTGGCATACAGAATCTGTCAATCAAATGTTTGATCAACTGATAATACAGCAATCAGAGCCAGACATTCTAAAAATTTCCAATCAGTTTGGTTTCTGTATAAGTCCTCGTACTATTCCCAGTGGAAACTTACACATCAGCTCATCCACGGGTGAAACGGCAGAGCTGGCGGCAGGGCTGGGAGCTGGACTGGCTGCACCAGACAACATGTAGTCGCAGGAACTTTGACTCTGTTTTGTTTGTGGATGTTCAACAACTGCAGGCGATACCGCATCCGTGTCATGCTGCAAGGTGGCCGAGTCCTTGGCGCCCTTGCCCATAGCCTCGCGCCAGGCAGTGCGCCATGAGTTTCGTTTTGTTGAGATCACAGGTGAGGTACTACTGGGTGGATGTGCGGCTGTGGGTGCCAGCGAGGCGCTTGTGGATTTCTTATCGCTGTGCAATTTGAATATTTTCAAATTAAATGAATATTTTGAGTCGCGCGTCGGAACTTTCATTTTTGTGCTGATTTTCTCTAAAAAGAGTTTGGAGTACTGCACAAAACTATATCACAGGCTATGCTTGAAGCCAACAATTGCCGAACGAACGTAATGTATTGGTCCGGATTTAAACAAAATCTCTCGAGTCGCGGTCTCTATTTGGATTTTTGCTTTGAGAAGACGAACTGACGAACGTCGGGAGATCGCGCGATCCGATCCGTAGACCGTTCGAAAACAGGCATGAAACGCGTTTGAATGAAATTTTATTGTCACTTCGCACGAACCGAACGCCAACGACGACAACAGCGGCAACGCCGAAAGTAAATCAGCGCCAGGCCAGGCCAGTGTTTGTGTCGACGTCACCATTGCTTTCGCATATGTAAAAGCTCTACTTGTACATACATATATATGCAGATGTACAAGGTACATACATATTCGTATAACCGTATTAATGAGCGGAGACATCGTCGGTTCGAAATTAGCCTAAACATTACGAAAAAACGCACATTTAAAACAAATCCAAAGCAACAACGACCTGGCATGACCCCTCGCGCGGTTATGGGACGTGATCGAAGCATAGAATTTTCTTTTGCGACTGCCCTGTCCCTAGATGCTAAAGGTGCTAAAAGTCATTTATCAGTTGAATGCTAGATTGGATGCAAGTCTTGTTTCATTCATGGTCAGGCCCATCATGATAAGCGGAACTGGGGCGGTAAAAAAGAGCATTCGCAGACTGATGAAAGTCCATGAGACAGTTCATGTGTTCACAGTCTCAAAATCAGACTGTAACTACACAAATATTTATAATAGATTCGACCTTCGCATGCTGCCACACGACAGGGTACCCATTGATCATCGTCGATGAAGCCCCTCTCACACATAGAATGTGTAATGTACTCACCTTTCGCCAAATGGTAGCTCAGGGATACCGGATCATCCTCTATCATTGTGAACAGTAGAATGGAAAGCCAACGGAACGCACAAAAATGCCTATATCTTTAGTAAACGTTTTGCAACAATGGCAGATACCGACGATGATCTTATCGGGAGATCAGAGCAAACACAGAACGTCAAATGATTGTGCTGGGCGGACCGTGCAGTTCTACATACATAAGTATGTCTGTATGTGGCACGGTGGGAGCTGGGAATTGATGCTGCACGTATCCTTGTGCAAAATATGATGTATCCTTGTGGTCCAATGCGTTCGGAAACTTGATATAAGTGCTGGCCTTATAATTTACCGGATTATTTTACGTTTATGCCACGATATCACAATGAAACCTTCAAAACAATGCCCCGGATGAAGTTATTTATTAATTCTTTAATTCAGCGAATCAGCTGTTGCGGGAGCTGTTTATCGATATCGAAGAAGGGTAGTGCTGGTAAGCAATTAACTTGTGCTAAAAATGGTGCAATCAATAACGGCTAAAATAAACATTCAAAATGTGTTTCAATAATCGTATTTGACAAAATATGTGTTTATATGTATGTCATTTTATTAAAACTTCTTTTCCACTAATTATGTTATTTCGTAATGTACTAAATAACTGTAGCCGGGAACGCGCTCATTCCTTTAATACTTTCCAGCACTGCGCAACAGCTGGTAAAACAACCAAAACAAGAACCCAGAAAGACGCATTTTATTTAATTTAAGTGGAAAGTGGATTAAAACAAACTGAGCACAATGGCTCGTGGTGCAGAAAAATCGGAATTTAGTTTCCCTGCCTGCTGGGAAGACAGCAAAGTTATGCAAATTCGGTTCGCAACGTTTCGACCGCGTCATTTAAGTATTGAGGATTATGACACAAAGATGAAATTCTGGAAAGATCTTGTAACGCAATACCTCAAGTTTTGGGGCCGAGTCACGTTCAGTTTGCGGGATCTGCAACTGAATTTCATGAGAGGAGACCAACTGCCTGCCTGTCTGGATACAGTGATATCGGAGATGCATCAGCAGAAACAGATCCGACCGCGCACAGAGTACGATAATGATCCAGCAAATACTTGGAGTGGCTGGCTGATGAACAGCCTGGTGAAGCGTCCTTTATCCTGGAGCTGGCTCAAGATAAAGCACAGCGTTGTGGGCGAGGATATGGAGGCGTCGACACTAGTGGAATGGATACATCTGGGGGTGTTAAATGTGAGGAAAACACACAATAAATGTACTTGCTTTTATTAACCTGTGGCTCCTTTACTCGCAGGACATTTGCGAACTGATGATTAAGAAGCTACTGCCCGAGAACCGAGGAAAACTTTTCCATTTCGATGCGTTCAAGTCGCTGTGTGATGTCCATCAGATTCGCATCCATACAGAGAAAGATATCTTTGCCTGCCTGATCTCCCTGCATGTCCGTCAACTGGTTGGGTTGGAGTTCAAAACGGAAAAGCAAGTGCGCAGCATTCATTTAATCAAAATACCATGTAAGTGCTCAGTTACTGACCTTAAGAGAATGGCTAATAATCCATAACTTTAATGCAGTCAAGGAAACGGACGATCTCAACATCAATGAGACCGATCATGCCGTGCACAATCTACAGATCACACAGGCAGATCTACTGAAGCAGCTGGAGAACCTGGAGGAGGAAATCAAGGCGAACGACGAAAAGGCTCGTCAGTACATAAAAGAGAACAAGCGGCAAATGGCCAAGACGTACCTTCGCAAGCGGCATCTGGTGGAAAAGAATCATGGTAGAGGACATTTTCCCCTTGGCCTTGGCTGCAGCTCTTTAATTTCTGTTGTGCTTTTTCAGAGCGTCGCAGCATTGCCCTGCACAACATTGAGTCTCTTCTGTCCAGCGTGGATGAGGCGCAAAACAGTGGCGTGGTACTCGATGCATATAAAATTGGCTCTAGTACCCTGCAAAAAGTTCTTTCCGACTCTGGCCTCAAGTACGACAGTGTCGATGAAGTGCTGGCCGATGTGCGAGAAACCCTGGAACAGCACAGAGAAGTTCAAGATGTGCTGTCCAATAGCACCGTAGATCCCACTGCCAGCCAGGAAGATGATCAGCTTGAAAATGAACTGCGTGAACTGTGTGGGGAAGCTGCCACAGTTCCCCAGAAATCGAATGCAGCCGCGAGCAACAACAACGACAGATTTGAGGTTGTAATTAGCGATCAAGAGATGATCGAAATGTTGGCAAACCTTGAGGTTGAAGATGGTAGTGTATCGGTATCGAGCACCAGAACCTTGAAGCAACTGCAGAAGTCTTAAAAGTGCATATAAATTTAAGTTAATGTTTTATTGTATATTTATAGTCGGTTTTTATTATAATTTGTATTTAAGTTGTGCCACAAATCGCTTCTTTTTTCGATTGGTGTATTAAAAAAAGATTCAGCATGCAATTTACGTTTATAATTTGCTTTATTCTATATTCATTCTGTACAAAATGCATCCTTATCATAGACTATGGCTTATGGCTATGGCTAGACAAATGTTTCCACAAGTAGGAATTCGAAAATACACGCGACATACATGCACTAGGTATGTCTTATTCCTATCCATTATAGTATCAGATACAGAACGAGAAAAGTGTACATCCAATATATTGTAAGGCAATAAAGCGAAATGCTTCGCATCGCCCGAGGTGCATGTTCATGTACCATGCTTTGCATTTGCATTTTACATACATATATGTATAGGCGTATAAATATAAGAAATCAAGCACTTTTCAAAATGCTTCTTTGTTCTGGTTCGGCCTTTATATATATATATATATATATATCTACATATATATATACATATGTACTTATATATGTATAAATCTAATAATCACTAAGGCAAATTTGCGCTCCTATGTATTGCAGACACGCCATTCCCAGTCCCAGTCCCTGTCCCATAGGGTTTGTTATGTGTGGATTTGGAAAAGTATCAAAATACTTAAAATCGTACAGATAAAGCAAATCAGTACCGGCAGGATGACAATAAAACGCAGTGATCTGTAATTATAAACAAAAGAAATTAGCTGAAACGAAGATTCTTTCCTTATGCTCCACTCACCTTCCTTGCCCTAAGGCTGGGTGTCAGAGATTCAGATCCATGTCAGCCTCAAGATCAATGTGATTCATCGAGTTAGCCGTGCTATTGAAGATTTGATTATCGGATGTGCTGTTGTTGCCCGTTGGCCCCGCTGTGGTCCCGCTAATGTCTGCGCCCGTACCCCGCTTCGATTTACCTAGCAGCCAGCAAGAGAACACTTTTTCCCAATTGTTGCACATTAATTATCACGAAGATGGATTTGAGTTTTTTGCATGAGAGAGCAAGGAAATTATAAGGAAAGGAAAGTCATAACAAAACCTCAGAACCGCTCAAACTTGAATACAAACCATCCACAAATTGTGTGTGCTAAACTTTCCCTTTGCTTTTGGGTGATGTTGGTATGTGGGATGTGTGTGGCAGAGATATAATGAAGTGTGTGTTGTGACTCCACTTACCTCCTGTAAAGCACAGACAGCCCTCGTCGTCGCTGGGCGAGTCACGGCGCGAGCTCTTTAGCTTCACTTCCTTGCTCAGCTCGTTTAAACAGCGCTGATAGTAGTCGTAATCCTTTAGATACCACACGGGAGGCCAGCGATGTTCCCGCAAATATTCTTGATTATCCTGATGCAGCGCCTTCAGGCCCTTCAGTGAGAACTTACAAATAATGTTGTAATTGACGCACAGATACGACATGCACCATTCAGCCAACTGATGTGCGTTGTGCAGCTAAAAAAGGAACGTGCGATTGGTAAAGTATTTAAGATTTTGGGAGTGCTGCCGGTTACAGACCTTTACAGGCTCCAGCAACTTTAGGCAATGATCCACTGTCTCATTAGTTTCGTTCTGTGAAATTAATGTGAGATCCTCGATGACTCGGCACTCAACTAAATTGAGCAGACGCGGCAGGCATAATCGGTTGGCTAGCTCTAGCAGATTGAGACATTTGACGGCCGAAATGGGTGGAATCTGATCAGTATACAGATAGCACAGTAGCTTATGGAATGTGTAGATTGTAACGCCAGGGAATACGATCTAAAAAAAAAGACACACAACGAGACTTGAGCTTGTTAATACACACAAAGTTCTATGACTACTGAATCCTCATCTTCGACTCTTACCACATTGGAATGGGCTTCGCGAAAGTCACCCAACAGCATGGCGCGCATCACGTCGCAACGTCCAACCAGCACAGCTCGGTGTGCCTGTTAAATAACAACATTTAAGTTAAGTTAAGTTAGGATCCACGTATTTACCTTCATTAAACCATCATCCAACTCGAAGGTGACATCGCTGAAGCAGCCATCACCAATGCAATGACGCTCTAGACTTTCTTTGATGCGCTGAAATGGACAGAAGAAAGTGAGCTAAATGCCAACAGTCTGTATTATTCAGCAGTCACAGCTTACAAGACAAATGTGCGGATTTGGATCATCACTGGAGGAGCTGTCCATAACAGTTTGTGGCTTGGACAAAAGTTGCGTCAGTTGCGGCAGTTCTAACAGATCGGCAGCATCCCTTATTTCCTGTAGGTAAGCGCTCAATCGTTTTAGATTGTAAGCTTAGAGGTTCAATTGTTGCTGGACTTACCTGCAGATTGTTGCAGCCCTTGTCAATGGTGCCCGTGTATATAAATCTGAGGCATTGGTACAGTGCCTGGGGCGAGATGAGTTTGCTGAGTGTCACAATTGTTTGCAGTCCATTCACGCCACGCTGATTCTCCACCTGCATCAGGCGTATGCTCTGCAGCACAGGATGGTGCAGCTCTCTGTACAGATCATTGGAATGCTTTGACTCTACCAGCGGCAAGGCCTGATAGCTAGAGCGTCGCTTCAAGTGTTCCCACATGCTGGAAAGGCAAGAAAGTTATTTAAATGCTCTGAATTCAAGCAGAACTATCGTCACATACCGCTGTGTACGGGACTCGTAGCGTATAAGAGATTCCGTGTCATCGTTAAAGTCCGCTATGGTCGCCTCACCGAACGTTGAGCTGACCATACTGGACTCGCTGCTGCTGCGACCGCCCATGTCGCTCAGCTCTGTGCTCAGGAGACGCTGGAATGTGCTGGAGGCCGCAGATAGCATAAACCGATGCACGGCAAACTTTGTGCCACCTGCCACTACCAGAATGAGGTCTGTGTAGGCTTGCGACAGGAACATGTTGTAGATGTCCTGCCTGTAGTGTCCCACCATGACGGTGACCTCTGGTGGCGGCGGTTTTGGTGGCCGAAATGGTGCCTGCAGCAGGGGTTTCTGCACCTTCTTCAGGTTCGTCATCCAGAACCGCTGCTGCCGTCGGGCAATTAACGCCGAACGGATGGCGTTCTCAAACACTTCATTGACGCCAAAGTACGTAAAGACACTGGTCTCGTAGTAGGCAACGCCCAGCTCCTTGGCCACAGCACGCGCCTCGTCCGGCATGACCAGATCGCTCTTTAGAGCAGCCCTAAAATGATCAAGGGCTAAGCGCTGGAACTTTTGCTTGAATTGTGTTGAGCTTCCTACCTTACAAAGGTTCCCTTTTCACCAAAATATGAGAGATAATTCTCATCGCGGTACATGTAGCGAAGATCGTTCTTGCAGCCCACAAGTATTACGGGCACATCGGGACAGAAGCGTCGAATTTCCGGATACCACATAACCTTGCAGTTTCGCAATGAAATGGGACTCGCAATGGAGAAGCACAGCAGCACCACATCGGATCTGGCAAAGAGAAGCGCAAAAGATAAGATACAGCTCTGAATTTCGAATCATTCATTGACCAACCGTCCGTAAGCAAACCGTCGGTCTTTGTCATGATCGCCAAATGTGTCCCACAGTCGCAGCGAAACATTCACTCCATCGACCACCTCCCATGACCTTTCAAGTACCTTGAATGCAATGAAAGAATTATAAGGGAAAGGCATACAACGTACGATTGGAACTTACGTCTTTGTATATGCGATACTGATCGATCGCCCACACGGTTGGTACATGCGTGGAAAGCAGCTGCGAGAGCGAAACATGCTTGTTGCAGGCTCGTGCACAGATAAGTCGCGTCTTACCCACTGCTGTGTCTCCCACCAGTACGCACTTAACCAGCTCTTGATGGGGCTGTTCGTTATCCATGTTCGACAAGCAAGCCAACTGGAAGGAAGGGTTCTGTCTGTACTCCCGCGACTGTGAAATATACATCAAATATTATTTCTCACTGTAAATATGGTAGATGGTTACTGTTTTTATGAACATTTTGCAATGCGGAATACAGGCTTTCTTTTCCTTATTTGGTGTAATTATATTAACAGAAGAAAATCAATTTTCGGCATATGCTAATCAGCTGAAACGCTGCACGGTGGGGTGTGCTTTCATCACTAGAGTAATAATTTTACCTGTTCTGCTGTTGGTTTCTGTTTTGCAATGGAAACCAGTAAAAGGCGTAAGAATCTTTCCATCAAGTTGGGATATTTTTGTTGCTTTACAAATTCGATTCAGATTGGATAAATTCGAGGCCTTGTGCTAAGTTTTTATTCAACAATCTCGTGAACTCGAGATATGCTAATTAATTAATTACACACAGACGCAAGTAAGAACGAGAAAGTCGATATTCCCGACTAGAGAAATACACCGAAATTAAAAAAAAAAGGATTTATTTTGTATTTTGGGATACTGGTAAAGCCATACGACATGCATTTCTAAATGATTTTATACTATAAACTGGCAATGCATTGACCCCTGCCCAGGCATCGGAGCAGCTCTTTTCGTCTTTAATTGAATTTAATTGGAACTGCAATAACAATATCTGGGCTCAAATCAGAGCGACAAAGAGACCGCACACACACCCCATGTGTAAAATCTCCATCCGATCTTGAGATGGAGAGTTTTCAGTCTATTTTTTTGGAATGGGAACAATGAAAATGAAGTCCATACAAAGGCAGACGCAATCTATTCAGCTACGTTTAAAGTTTATTAAAATACTAGTACTATTAGTTTGGAATAAATTAATGCGAATCAATTGATAATGGCAGAAAAACAAGAAGAACATCCCTTAAGGGCCTTCACTTCACTTGATTTGTTTTTTTTTTTTGGCACAATCTTGACGTATAATTGTAATTTATAAAGACGAGTGCGTCAAGTAAATAATATTATCGCAAATTACGCCAGAGGAGATAGCAATTAAAGAGGTCGGTCGCTTGCATTGTCAACTCAACAAAGATGATAGCAAAAATAGCTTAATTACGGGTAATCTAGGTTTAATTTAGTTGAAAATCCAGCGACGATTCTGTTCTCAGACGGAAAGATAGGGTATCGAAAGGGTCTTAGTCATGCCTCATGCTCTGATTGCCATCTTTTCGTGAATGCCGAAATGTCTCCTTTTTATTTTGCTTGCCTATTGATTTTCTCTTACCCCCCCAACACACACACACGCACACACAGCACGAGCACGAACCCACACAGACATGGCGCACCTACACCAACACAAGTGTATGTGGATCTTAAAGCTCCCTCTCACACTCGCGCTCTCCGCTCCAATGCTCTGCTGGTGGGGTTTTCTTAGGGAAATCTTGGGGAACAGTTGAAAATATCCATCCCCCGGCCACGACCATCGTACATGCAATGCAATGCATTAAATTAGTTACAACTTTTATGAAGCCGCAAGCCCCAAATGTGACATTCACTTGCACTTTTTCGCACGCATTACCTTTGTGTGGGTGCACGGTGAATAAACAATTTGTATTGGCAATTGATTTGCCTGTCGGTCCAGCTGGACGATTAGCAACTATATAAATGAGTTACAGTGAACACATACCTTGAGTTGACTGCCTCACAGGCTCAAATTTTATGCGTTTGGCCCAATGTTCTTACTTTTGCGTATTGCACTTATTATCAACACACACACTGAAGCACAACATTTCTACAACAAATTGCCACTAATTTTGGTACCAACACATAAACCACAACACAGATCTTGGTTAGACGCGATTCACGGTAAGAAAAATGCCATCGTTGAGTTGCCGCTGCACTGTAGTTGACTCATTAGGTTGTGGGCCGGATCGAATCGAATAAAATGAATAAAATGCAGTTAAAGCCCGCAAAATCTAGTGCGCGTTTGACGGCAACCAGCCAGTGTTGGACAAGGCGGCGTGACAGGGCTGGCACATGAACAGGGTGACCGTATACTTTGACGTCAAAACTTAGCTAATAGTATATTTGCGGTCGCCGGTATTTAGAGAGGTATATTTCATATGATTGCTCGGTATATTACGGTATAGGTCCGGCCACACTGACGTTTTTGTTGTTGCGAAACAAATAGTGCAATTATTTAGCAGAATTTCGATTTATATTCAATTTAAATTGAAAACGGAGAGAAGTCCTTCCCATGGGCACTAGTGAAAGCCGGAAAGAACTTGATAGATACTCCACTCAATGTATTTTTCCTGTAGCAAATCGATTTTCACCATCACAGCTCTTCTAAGTCGTCGGTTCGTTGCGTGCACCCCATCAGAGTAGGCCAAGTTTTAAACTAATTCCGATTGACAGGTTGAATTCACAACAGACAAAGATTATATTTGCTCAGCGATCGATAGGTTCGTTTGCCAAATCCAAGATGACTGCGGGCGAGACAATTTCCCAAAAACTATCACCGAAGAAGCCTGAGCAAATGGAGCCAATTCTGCGGTAAAGTAACAACTGTTTGCCGATGATCTCACTCACCAATATATATTATGTATCCTGCAGCTTGAACAACATCGAGAAATCGCAGCAGGACACCCGCGACTATCGTGGCCTTCAATTGGAAAATGGCCTCAAAGTGCTGCTCATCAGTGATCCAAACACCGATGTGTCAGCGGCTGCCCTCTCCGTTCAAGTGGGGTATGTGTATGCAGCGCGAGAAGGGAGGATTTGATTTGTTAATTAGTTTATGCCGTGTCAATTGCAGCCACATGTCTGACCCACAAAATCTTCCCGGCCTGGCTCACTTCTGCGAGCACATGCTGTTCCTGGGCACCGAAAAGTATCCGCACGAGAATGGCTACACGACGTACCTCTCGCAGAGCGGTGGCAGCAGCAACGCCGCCACCTATCCCCTCATGACGAAATACCACTTTCACGTGGCACCTGACAAGCTGGACGGAGCCCTGGATCGCTTTGCCCAGTTCTTTATTGCTCCCCTGTTCACGCCCAGTGCAACAGAGCGTGAGATTAATGCTGTAACTATTCAACTGCATCCTCGAATTCATCCTAAAATTGACACTAACAAAACAATATCCTTGCAGGTCAATTCGGAGCATGAGAAGAACTTGCCCAGCGATCTGTGGCGCATTAAACAAGTGCATCGGCACTTGGCCAAGCCGGATCATGCGTATAGCAAGTTCGGTAGCGGCAACAAGTCGACGCTCTCCGAAATACCCAAATCCCTGAAGATTGATGTGCGCGAGGAATTGCTTAAATTCCACAAAGAGTGGTACTCTGCCAACATCATGTGCCTGGCTGTCATTGGAAAAGGTAAAGATGAGCTCCAAGGACAAATTGGAAATACAAAATAAATTCTTACAGAATCTCTGAATGAACTGGAGAGCATGGTCATGGAGAAGTTCTCCGAAATTGAGAACAAAAATGTGGATGTGCCGGAATGGCCACGTCACCCGTATGGCGAGGATCGTTACGGACAAAAGGTGAAAATAGTTCCCATCAAAGATGTTCGCTCGTTGACGATGAGCTTCACCACAGACGATCTAACAAAGTTCTACAAATCGGGCGTAAGTTTAAGGTACCACAAGCGTGTGGCTCAAGCACAGAAAGGCACTGCTATAATTGTTTTTTCTTACAGCCCGACAACTACTTGACGCACCTCATCGGCCACGAGGGCAAGGGCAGCATATTGTCTGAGCTGCGACGTCTCGGCTGGTGCAACGAGTAAGACACGACATCCACAGGTGCACTCAATATTTACATATTTTGGTTTCTTGCAGTCTTATGGCCGGACATCAGAACACCCAAAACGGCTTTGGCTTCTTTGACATTGTGGTGGACCTGACACAGGAGGGCCTGGAGCATGTGGATGATATTGTTAATATAATATTTCAGTATTTGCGCATGCTGCGCGAAGAGGGACCCAAGAAGTGGATATTTGACGAGTGCGTCAAGCTAAATGAAATGCGCTTTCGCTTCAAGGAAAAGGAACAGCCCGAGAACTTGGTCACACATGCCGTTTCCTCCATGCAGATATTTCCGCTGGAAGAAGTTCTCATTGCACCATATTTGAGCAACGAATGGCGACCAGACTTGATCAGCGGCCTGCTGGATGAGTTGATACCCTCCAAAAGTCGCATTGTAATTGTTAGCCAAAGCTTTGAGCCAGCCTGTGACCAGGCAGAGCCGTACTACAAAACCAAGTACGGATTGGAACGCATACCCACGGATATTGTGCAGGTATGTCGTGGTCTGTCCTCCCATTTATTCCTGTAGATAATGTGTGATTTGTTCTTGCAGAGCTGGGAAAAGTGTGATCTGAATGAGAATCTTAAATTGTCACTGCCAAACAGCTTTATACCAACCAATTTCGATATTGCCGATGTGCCCAGCGATGGACCCAAGCATCCGACCATCATACTGGACACACCCATACTGCGCGTGTGGCATAAGCAGGACAATCAGTTTAACAAACCCAAGGCGTGCATGCGGTTCGACATGTCCAATCCGATTGCCTCCCTGGATCCACTCAATTGCAATCTAAACCATATGATGGTTATGCTCCTGAAGGATCAACTCAACGAGTATCTGTACGATGCAGAGTTGGCCAATTTAAAGCTGAATGTTGTGGGCAAGTCAGGTGGCATTGATGTGCGTAAATGTACATTCCCTTGTTAGCATTTTAATTATGAAAAAATTCTTTTGCAGTTCACAATTCATGGCTTCAGTGACAAGCAAGTAGTGCTTCTGGAAAAACTCCTGGATCACTTATTTGATTTTCGTGTGGATGAGAAACGTTTCGATATATTGAAGGAGGAATATGTTCGATCATTGAAAAACTTTAAGGCCGAGCAACCGTATCAGCATTCCATCTACTATTTAGCTTTGCTATTAACCGAAAATGCTTGGGCGAATGTTGAGCTATTGGACGCTATGGAACGTAAGTAACTGCTATGCGATTAAACTGCTTTCTTTAACCATCTTTTTCTTCGGCAGTTGTTACCTTTGATCGGGTAAATAACTTTGCCAAAGAGTTCTTCCAACGCCTGCACACAGAGTGCTTTATTTTTGGTAATGTGACCAAGCAGCATGCCACCGAGGTGGCTGGTCGCGTCAACAAACGCGTGGAGGCCACCAATGCCTCTAAGCTACCCATTCTTGCCCGTCAGATGCTCAAGAAGCGCGAGTATAAGCTTTTAGCTGGTATGTCACATAGATAAAGATGTTCAAAATCCACTTTGAAACGTTTATTTTTTTACTTTCAACAGGCGACAGCTATCTTTTTGAAAAGGAGAACGAGTACCACAAGAGCTCCTGCACGCAGCTCTACCTGCAATGTGGCGCACAAACGGATCACACAAACATTATGGTTAATCTAGTCTCCCAGGTGCTGTCCGAGCCCTGCTACGACTGTCTGCGCACCAAGGAACAACTCGGCTATATTGTCTTTAGTGGCGTACGCAAAATAAATGGCGCCAATGGAATACGCATCATTGTGCAGTCCGCTAAGCATCCGACGTTTGTCGAAGATCGTATCGAGAACTTCCTGCAGACATATTTGGTAAGCAAACTACACCATTATTTATGTGTTTTATTGTTTGTTAAGTAATTGTTTACCCCAGCAAGCAATTGAGGATATGCCTTTGGATGAGTTCGAGCGACACAAAGAGGCGCTGGCCGTCAAGAAGCTGGAGAAACCGAAGACTATATTCCAGCAATTTAATCAGTTCTATGGGGAAATAGCCATGCAAACGTATCACTTTGAGCGTGAGGAGGCTGAGGTTGCCATCCTACGCAAGATCACAAAGTCCGACTTTGTGGATTATTTCAAGGTGACATTTAGTTATTTATAAGTGCGGTTCAAAAGCTAAAAACCCATTTAAACTTTGCAGAAATTCATAGCCAAAGACGGTGGCGAACGTCGCGTTCTGTCCGTGCACATTGTGTCCAAGCAACCGGAGGAGAATGCAATCGAGTCCAAGAAGGAAGAGCCACTGGAAATCACAAATATGGACCGTCACAAGTGCATCAGCGACATTGTGGCCTTCAAGTCGTGCAAGGAGCTATATCCGATCGCGTTGCCATTCCTCGACATCAAGGCCAAGGGTGCACGCAGTAAATTGTAAACTTCTTCAATAATATATATAAAGTAGAGTATGCGGTTTTGGTCTCTCTTTGATTTAATAACTCAACCGAATAAACACATTTTATTTCGTCACTCACAAATACAATATAATCTGTATTAACAGCGTGTTCTGCTTGATGTACGTGCTGCCCAAAAGTGCACTGTTCGGTATGGAAAAGCTCGTCTCCAGTTTGGTCAGTTCCTGTGAGCCGAGATCCTTTGCCTTTCGGTGGCTGTAATTCTGATCCAGTATGGAGATTTTGTGCTTGAATGGCGTGTCGTCTGTCCAATGCTTCATCGTCTTGAATATTCCGCCCATGTCTAAGGCAATGTTCTTCTGGTCGCCTGGTGGAAGAATTTGCGCATAGCCCAGCTGTAGGTTCAGCATTTCGCGATTTAAATAGTGAAAGGTGCAACGCAGTTGAAGGGATTTGCCTCTGATGCTAAACACAGGACTGTTGACAGTGCTCGTTGAAAGATCTTCAATTCTGCTTGTGAAATTATCCAACTTCCAGTAGTAGGTAAACAGTTTAAAGTCCTGGTCAGCCAGCATGGTATTGTTGAACTTATTGACCTCCTCATCTCGCACTCCCTGCATGACCTTTTGCCTCGTTGCCAACTCCTTTAGTATGGGCATCTTTTTAGTGCTGACTTTTGGTTCCATTGCCTTGAGGATTTCCTCCAGTTCGACATCATTTGATGGGACAGTTCTTTGTGTCACTGGTGGTGGAGGAGGTGGAGTCGGTTCAGCGACTATTTCCACCGAATTAGCCATTGCCACTTGCTCCAATAACCATTTTATTTCGCGTAGCTCCGCGTAAAGTTTTGTCTCGAGATTTCGAAAGGCCAAGTTCATTTCATCTAGTTGAGGATAAATTAATGTTAATCATTTCCATTTTATGTGAACTTATAGCCATAACTTACCCGATCCACAGACACCCTTTAGGGTCTTTGTAGTAACAGCTTCGGCAGATGCCTTAATCTCACCAGCGGTCACTGTACATACCGCTTTTTGGACCTCGCTGGGCAGCTCTGCGCTGTGCTCTGCATCGTTGTTGGTGCTGTTGACGGCATTCTCAACGTCTTCCACATGCGCCCAACTTGTGGAAAAGAGCGTGGCGGCACACGCCACACACAAGATCCAACCAAATGCGAGACCTTTTGAAGGCAACGAATTGGCTTTAGACATTACTAGTCAGTCCGTTGTGGCGGAGGCCTTAGCCAGAACTGTAGAAGAGATGAACGGCAAACGTTGACCAGCGGCAGAGCGAGAATATTTAGGGAACACTCCTACCTTGAGCTACTCGTTAAAACGATGACAGATGTTCCACATGGAATTATTGCTGTATGCGTGTCATATATTCTTGGACGTAGGTACTACTTTTAGAACGGGGACCCTCCCACCGAGCTCTAAAAATAGTGCTAATATTTACACACAAACAAAAACAAAAACGAGCAAGAAGAAACATGATTGAATGAATGGAACACTTTTGCACAGAATGTACGACTGGCTGCGAATTTTGACTGAATCCATGTCGACTCTTGCGCGTGCAATATTTTGTAAGTGTTTAAATGGCACGAGCCGAAAATACTAGCACAGCATCTGTGCGATTTCCGGATCCAATTGATGCAGGAATTTCTTGAAAGGTTTAACTAGTAAATATTTCCAAAATACAATTATTATTACCAAAATCAAAAGCTGTGGTCCAGGTTAGTTAGGATGACAGAAAGATCATTACAGATCGCTTGAAATAACTTTTATAAACATATTCTTATGCCTTCTGCTATATCTTTGTGTTTCGGGACACGTGTACCCTCAACAGTACGAAATCTAGCTATAATTTCTCCTAATATCTTATTAACAGAAGGACAATCTCTCCTCCATTCATAAGCTTGACCCATTAAGAGAATATTTCATATTTTAATCGCTTAACTTAAACCTGTTTTGTTTTTTTATTTTATATTTTTTATTTGTATTCAGTATTCACTCTTTCTCTGACTGTGAAAATTTGCTCCAGTCCCATGCATTTTATACCATAATTTGACTTTAAATTTAATTTTGATAGACTTCCGGTACTTTTGAATAATCATATTATCATTGAGGCGGCCACCCTACCCGCGTGGGTTTGCAATAAACATTTGGAATGTGTTCGTGTGTGTGTTAACATTTTTTTACAATATAAATCTGATTGAATTTAGGGCTTTTTTAACTTCTTCGTAGTTTTTTTATGTTCTCTAGTTTTTGTATATATATTTTATGTTTTGTCTTTTTATTTAATAGTAAAGAGGGGAGGAATTTGGGGGGTGGACACTTATACAGACTAACATTATCGTTATTTTGAATACACACATAATTATACAGAATAAAAAATGTAATTATTTCTTTTAAAAATATGTGTCCCATCAGAGTACAATTTGTATGCATAACTTGCGATTAATTTTCTTTTTTGTTTACTGTTTAAATCCCATGCAACGCCGATTGGAGGCAAATTGTTCAATGGGGATGCATAGAGGAATATCGCATAAAAATAACAATTATAAAAAGGTTCTCTTTCTCTCATATACATACATAATAGATAGATATACTTTCTCTGACTTTATAGGTATCAGTATATGGTGTACATACATACATTTATATATATATATATATTCCAAGCATTTAATAGTTATAGTGGGGGTTTGAGGGGTTGTTTCTCTCTCTATTTCTTATAGTTTGTAAAATGTTCACAACTTTTTACAATTGTCGGCAATGTAATTAATAATAAATATATATATATATATCAATGCATATGCAGTTTTGGACTCTTTGTTAGGATTTTATTTGGATTATGTTGTCTCACCCGTCTGTCTATGTGTGTGTGTGTGTGTTGGCGCCTAGTTAAAAGTACATACGAAATAACACTAAACTAGCAAAAATGATTATAATACAAAAGCAAACGAACAAATAAGTACACGATCTGCTGGCGGTGCTGTTCCACGTGAATGCAATGAGGTTGCTGTTGCGGTTGTAGCGGTTGTTGCTGCTGCTGTTCTGCTGTCGTTGTTGTTGTGATGTAGTGTGAAATCGTTGTTCCTGCTGCTGCTGCTCTTCCTCTTGGCGCTGCTGAAACTGCTGCTGCACCTCCTGCCAAAGCCACTCGCCAACATTCCCATTTCCGGTGTTATTAATCAACACCCGCAAAGCCTTGGCTGCCCTCAATTGCCTTAATTAGCTTGTCCTTGAGCTGCAGATAACCCTCATAGGGTGGCAGATCTAGGCGATTAAAGCTGCATACAAAATGGAATTAATTAACCCTAAAGCGGCAACGAGAATTGATTCAAATCTCACCAGGTGTGTGCCCGTGGAAAGTTATTGGGTGTGCCCCACTTCTCGATGGTAAACATCTGCGGGCCATTCGAGCCGTACAGCTCTTTGAAACCATTCATGGGCACACGGGAAGTGCCAGTCACGAACTGTAGCAGGCGAGAGCGCATCTCGTTGGAGAAGGAGAGAACGGCACGCCAGAACCATTGGATAATGATGTGATTCATGTGATAGTCGCCCTTGTAGAGCGTATTCTCGCGCCAGTCCTTCACATCGATGTTCTGAATGCCGCACATCAGCAGCTCCAGCTCGTGCTCGTCGAAGATCTTGATCAGATTCAGGGGAATAATCGATCCAAAGCCGTCGAGGAAGGACGTCATTTGTTCCTTGACGCGCGCCACAAAGCGCCATTCAATAACGAGCCTAAAAGGGTTATAGAAACATTAAAAAGCTCGGACATGGCAAACGGATCTCTGACACTCACTTGATATACTCATCTTTGTTCTCATTGGTTACATCTATGTTGGCGCCACCGGGCTTCAGATCGTGTTGGCTCTTCTGGCCCAGCACATCATCGTCCAGGCAGAATGTCAGCTCTAGTATGCGCGGATCATTCTCCTTGATCCACATGAGGGAGTTGTAGTATTCCGTGTCCACAGACTCCATGTCCTTCAGGTCAATAGGCTTCTGCAGCATCATCTTGTAGAAGGGACGAATGAAAAAGGCATCCAGCAGCTTGCCATGATAAACAGCCATGCCCGCAATGCGACCAATGAATCTACAAGGCAAAATGTTAGTTGGAATCAAAATAGATTACAAATTTTCTTACTTGAAGTAACTTAAGTGCTCCTCGTTGCACAAACCGCTGCCATTGTTGATTTGCAGTGTGTAGTTGTCCATCGCCGAGTACTCAAAGAGTCCGTAGTATGGATTGAACATTTCTTTGGATAGTAAATAGAACCACTCTCTGGCAAGGCCACCGTAATCTGTCCCACAGAACATTCATTAGCATAAGCAAAAACATTTGAATGTAGAAATGACTCACCTAAACCAGTCTCTCCCTCAAACTCCACCCACAATTTAGTCTTCAGTAGATCGGTCTTTGTCACCGAACTGATGATTCGGTACGAATCCTCCAGTATGGATGTACGTCGAATGCGTATTTCAAGTTTATTTGGTACGTTTGTCTGTCAACGAAAAGAGATGGAAAACCGTTTAATTTTCCTGCCATTAACGTAATTTTAAGCACTTCTTACAGGCTTTCTAATATGACTCTTGAAATACTCGTATTTCTGTTTGTAGTCCCTGGAGTACGGCACCGCCTGCCCGGCAATGTTTGGATTGGACAAACGTGGATCCTCCCACTGTGTGGTGCGTGTATCTATCGAGAGAAGAAATATTAATAAGCGTTGAAGATGCAATTCTTAAGCAATGCTTACTATGATCTATGTAGAATACACGTCCATCCGTGTGCACACGCTCCTCCCAGCCTTCGGGCAGGGGTCCCAGATCGTCTTCGACGCGACGTGTCTGATTTGGCATGGGGCTGGCCCGTCCATTGCGTGGATCTATCCAGGTGGTGCGACGTGAGGCATGGTCTATGAAGAAGGTGCGGCCGTTGGGCGCCATCTGCATGGACCAGCGCGGTGGCAGTGCCTCCTCCTCGCCGCCAGCAGTCTGCAAGAGACAGAAAAAGGATTACAGATTGAGACATTAAAGGGCTATGGCTAGACAAGGGAGGCGACTATCCAGGGCAGAATGTTTGCGGGCTTAGAAAGAGTTTTAAAAATTTACTTGATCCTGTGGTGGCACAGCCGAATTGTCTTCCTCGGAATTGCGTCGAGTGGGCGGAGCTGAGATCTCTGAGGAATTGTGGCTGTCTGTGTGATCGGTGTCTTCATTCTATTCATTGATTATTATTTATATAATATTGATATATATATATGTATGTATATATGGATGCATTGCAGTTGCAGTTGCAGTTGCAGTTTTGATTATGTTTTGTTTTTTTATTGTTTTGGAAGAAACAGAAGAGAAAAAAGTGTTTTTGGTAAAATTAAAAAGTAAATTCCACAAATTGCAATAATTTTTTGTTGGTAGCAAAAACACTCAGCAAGAAAGCACATTAAATAAAGATAAACATTGTTAAACAAATTAAATGCAAACGAGGTTAGAAAAGCGCTATGAGGTTTAGTACTCTGCAGCATGCCACATGCAACAAACACTGAGAGAGGCGAACACATACAAGACACAGCACAGGTGTACAGCTACAGGCGAACCATGGCCCAAAACTTCCTTGACACAACCCACGCCCCATGTGGCTGCTAAAAGGAAGAATTTATCACCCAAAAAGAAACTTTAACTTGACAAATTTTGCGGCGCTAATATGATATTTAGTTGAGTTCTAAAACGAAACAAACGAACGACACATTGAACTACAAAAACTGGAGTGAAGGTGGATGGATCCTGACCAAATGCGGATGTGGCTGTAGATGGAGCTGTAATTGGAGCTGCTGTTGCTGCTGTTGCTGGCGGCGTCTTTGCTGGCGAAGATCTACTTCAGGCTACAAGTGAAATAAATGTGGATGATCGCATGGGAATGATTTATGAATGAATGACGGGAGTGCGCAGATGTTTGCTAACCAATTGTCTGTTCTGCTGCTGTTGCCGCTGCTGGTGCTGCTGTATGTGCAACTGCATTTGTTGACGTCGTCGCTGCTGCTGCTGCTGCTGTTGGTTGAGCTCCGGCTCGTGTCGTCCCAGATTGTAGGCCATGTTGTCGATGGCCCGACGTGTCATAATTGTGGTCATGGCAATGTCCGGAATGTCGGGCGCCTGGCGCACTGGACGCAAATCGGTTTGCAAACTCGAGGATGAGATTTCGGGTGGCCTAACGGCGACAGGATGTCGCAGGGAATTGTAAACAAAACTGAATACATAAAAGACTGGTCAGTGGGCGATCAGATCGGAGGGGGGAACACGGGGGGACAACACCAACAAAGGGAATTGGAGGGTGGAGAGGGATGGATGCTGCCACTGCCCACAGTGGATATTAACCTGGTTGTCTCCTGTGGCGTATCGTCTGTGCCCAAGGGGTTCAAAATATTCCCATTGCCATTGCTCTCGCTGTGGATCGTTGGTGGATTTGTGGTGGTTGGTGTGGTCGCATCTGGCGTATTGGTTGGCGTTTGTTCATCCTCTAAACTATTACGACTGGAGTTATCCTGAGGTAATCATGCAATACATATAATTACAGGAGTTACAGGAAGAATCAATGCAGCGAAATGAAGTGAATGGATGAAGAGAACTTTGAACTGGCTTTCTAGCTTCACTAATTAGACAATAATCTAGCGAAACAAAACACTTTTT